ATCAATCTACCACAACTCTTCTCTTTTATCAGAGTTTGGACCATCAAGTAAGCAAATTTGGAACTCCCTCGTTACTAGAAACAAATGTTTTTTAGTAACAAATTAGTGGAATAAAATATGATTTTTTCACTCATTTTCTACTGAACCAGCTCATTAGGAAAATGCATGATAGAAAACAGATTCTTACTAAAATAGTAGAAAATTTCCTAATATTTCGTATGAAAACATTATTATTCTTTCTTTTCTCACTGATTCAACTAAAAGATTTGTAAAAATAACCATTGTACATTTTTTAGTGGAAAATTCAATAGGAAAATAGTGATTTTTAGTACCGTCTCACCCTCCCCAACAAGATAAAAAGATTAAGAATTTTTTTTTAAACCAAAAATAAAGAATGAAATTTATTAATTAAGGATCAATCATGAATTTTAGGAGTGTTAGGACGACTTGGTGATCAACTAACTAAACCTCCTTGTTTGGGAAGGGAGTTCATCTACTAACATATGGTAGATTAAATTTCACTTTCATAATATATAATAATTTTATTATTCATGTTCATTGCATGTAATTTTTTACCTGAAAAAAAAGAACAATTAATTAGTTATATTATATGTTATTGTCTCTTTGTTTCAATTGTTTTTACTTGATTAAAATAAAATATTTAATGAAATATTTCAAATACATGGTAGATGAATTATAATAATTAAGAAGCTGGATTGGTGAAATTAAACTTATATAAGAGAAATTTAATTTGAAGCGTAAAATAAAAATATGATTTATGTATTGTATGACGACATATTTATGATTTATGATACTGAAGCTAATTAACTCTTTAATAATAATTAAAAAAAGTTTAAGAATATAGCTTGTGAGGACTTACCTAACATTGTGATTGAACAAGTGGACAACTAGGGTGCCTTCGGCACAAACGAAAATGATTTCTATAAAAAATGTTTTTCGAAAAAATATTTTCTAAGAAAATAAGTTGAATTTTTACTTATTTTTGTATGTTCCGTACGTAAGTAAAAAAATATATTTTTCTAAAAGCATTTGTATATAATCTAGACAACTATTATGCATAGTGGGAGTAAGGGTAAGGGACGGGGGTAAAGAAGAGGAAAGGTGGCGGGAGGTTACGTGGAATGTTAGAAACTTGTATTTTCTATTTCCACTCGAAAAAATCATTTTTTTTAATTTTTAAGAAATTTATTTCCAAAAAAAAAAAATTAAATTTTTTAACCTACCGAATATAGAAAAATTAAAACTCCATGCCGATTACCAAACACACCCCTAATCATTACTTGCGTAAAAATAAATACCCCTTTTTTCAATTATATGACTTATGAAGTACAATACATTTTCTTCTTTGACTTTAATTACTTTTAGCTCAAAAAATTGTTGACTATGAAATAGTACTTTCATGTGATTTTTTAAATGTATAATTTCCTTTTCTTAAACATTTCAAAATCATTGCTCGTTATATTAGAAATTAAATATCGTATTTTAAATTTAGATAGTCCTTTTAGATCAGTACTACGTGGACAATTTATTTCTTTTTCTTGTCAATTCTGAACTTACTATGCTTTTAAATTATTAGGAACACTTAGTGTTAAATCGACTTGCTACCTTTTAAAGATGTAAAATACAAATAAAATATTTTTAAAAAAATTGTGTTTGAGAATGAAACAAATCAATAAATAATCCAATCTTCTAGAATTAGGTATTATTATGTTTCTCTACTTTATCTGACTAAATTTCACTAGCATTGGAATAATTAATTTATGTTATATTTACCTAATTATGTTGAACTCATGTAAGCTTGACCAAATTCTGATTTATCACAACAAAACTTAGATTCTACTAAACCTATTGGCAATGGGGAGGTGCACAAGATTTTGGTACCACTATTTAAGTTTATATTCTAACTTCTAAGGTTACAATTTGGTTACGAGTCTATCTATTTCAGAATAATTTTAAATATATGATACTAATTAAAAGTAAGATTTGACAAAGTTTAATTTTTCAATTCCGACAAAATATCTGAAGCTTCATGTTGCTTCGAAATGCACATGCAAGCGTACATAATTGTACAAGTAATATAGTAATTTTAGAAATCAAATGTTGAATCCATAAGGACTTGTGATTAATTATTTATTAAACTAAACTAGTGCTAATTACTATTTATTGAAGAAATAAATCTCAAAGTTTTTTTTTTTAACCAAGTAAAATAAAAATAAAACGAATAATGAAATATAACTATACAAAGAGCGATTTTTTTTTCGTTATCAATGAGATGAATATTTTAGGGTTGCACGTAATTCACCAATCCTATTGAGTTCTCGAACATTTTTCTTTTAATTTGAATTATCAACAATTGCTAATTAATCGAATTATTAATACTCATAGTATTCTCCTGAATTTCTACTCGTTTATAAAAAAAAAATGTCCTTATATACTTATGAAATTGCTCTATTATGAATACAATGAGTTCACGGTATTTAATTGAACATATTGGTAGCTAAGTATATTTCTATCCTAATCGCAAATTCTTGTCTTGTCTTCAAAATTAAGATTACATTCTGTTTAAAAGAGGTCTATTTTTAAAATCCAAAATAGTTCACTAAGTTCTGTGAAAATAATTCTTTCGTTTACTTTACTTGTCTAGAATTTTTAAAAAATATATTTTATTTTTTTTATTCGTCACTTTTTAATATATCAACAAAAAAAAAATTATTCTTGACATTAATTATTTTTTCTCTAAATCATTTTTCGAGACGTATAATTATATATCAATTATTATAGATATTGTGATAACATTATAAAATGAAAAGAGGGAGTAACTATGATATTTATTGTGATTGTAACCTCTCAAATCCCCATATGGGAGAGAAGTCTGCCTCTAACAGAAAAAAAGAAAAAAGAAAGATCAATTCAATTCAATTAGAAAGAAAGATAGAAAATCAGAGCAAGTATGAGAGAGTGGGATTGATTGATGATTCAATCAATAATAAGCTACCAACAACGGTTTGTGGCAGAGAGTAGTAAGTACTCTTTCATCTTTAATAAGAGGTCTCGAGTGGTATAAATTTGCCTTTTACGACCAATATATGAAACTTTCCGGCGCGAATCTAATTTAATCGGACTTTAATATAAATATCAGACATCAGATAAAAAATATAAAAAATCAATAATAAGCTAAGGGCTCAAAAATGAGAAGACACTGACTGATCAATTACTACTATGAATAGAAGTGTGTGCCATGAAAAATGAAAATATGTGTGCCATGGACAAATATCTTCTACACTACATTCATGACCAAAAACCAAGTACCAAGGTAAGTAAAAGGATTATTTAGAAGTTGAGATTTATAAGTCAGACCATTAATTAACTTTGTAATTTCACAAATGAAATTTGAAAAATTAGAGTGTACACAAATTTTACTGGTCTGCTCCTCATAGAGATAGGGATGTGTTTCTGATAGATCCTTAGCTTACATAATATATTTTAAAGTAGATCGAAAAAGAGAATATAGAAAGGGAAAAAATTCTAAAACGTTTGTTTGCAACAAATTTTAAACATATGGAAAATAAATAAATCTCACAAATAAAATCTGAAGAAACATAACTTTATTGATAAATATGCGGGTATAATTTTGTTCCTCCCTTGATTCTACTCTCCTAAGATTTATTCATGATTCGAAGGCCGTTAGTGGCGTATTTCTCGAACTAGGATGATTTAGATTTGACCTCTATATGAATATTCCATGACTTTTATGGAATATTCGAGATCTTGATCTTTAAAAATACCCAAGAGTTTATGGGCTATTTTGAGATGCCTTTTAAGAGAATTTAGTACCCTTTATATAAGCATAAACTAGGGTTTAGGGTTGAGTAGCCTTCAAGAATTCTAATTGAAACTGAACACATCTTCTAGAGTTCCAATTCGAATTGAACACGTCTTGTAGAGTTCGCAAAATTTCAATGTCTACAACGTCATCGAACTTTGAGAAAAGACTTATCTATGCAATTAGTTAATAGTTTATCTCATCTAAGTCATTTTTGTTTGAGAAAAAAAAAGGTTCATCCATGCTATTATAACTAAAATGGCATAGATGAGCCGAACTTTTAACGGATGACAAAGATGAGTCTTTTCTCAAAGTTCAATGGTATATTTTAACCTTTTTCCTTTTAAAAAAAGATTTAATTAATGTCGTAGCCAAATCATAATTGGCCACGTATAAAAATGATTTCGCAAAACTGGAATTGTTTTCAGTAACCTTCTTATTAGCTGAGAAATTGACATAAATAGTTGTCCACCAAAATCTATTATAGTATGATATGACAAGTAAAAGTGAACGGAGGGATATTTTTTTTATATATTTAGCTAACGAATACAATTATATTTAGTTGACCGGGCAAATGTATAACTCACTCTAAATTTGGATCATTTTAACCCGTTTAAATTTAGTCCAATTCACCCATCTGACACTCCTAATTAACGAGGATAGTAATTTGTGGAGGGTATTTTGGTAATTTGACCGAATAGTGTTTTAGATGGTGGGAATGTCAAGTGTATAGAGGATAACGTAGGTCCAATGAATGTATGCATGGCTGCAAAATGGAAACCATGCACACAGCCATCCTCTCTAATATGTGTATATTAATTACACTTCCAACTTCCCAAATTAATTATACTTACTCATCTTATTATAAATAATTTGGTGAGCTTTCTTGTTTTCATGAACCTTCATCCCCTCCAAGCAAACGCAAAACATCCTAGGTATGTACACAAACATTATTTCATCTGTCTCAATTTACGTGAAGATGTTATGTTCGGGAAGCGTTAACTATAATTTTCACATTTCTAAAATATCTTGAATTATTAGTTATGTTGAGTTGTACATTATAGTTGTATTTTTCAAATATGTAAAGTTTATTTAAATTAAGTGTTTTGACCCTCATACTTCGAATATAATTTTTTTTGTATCACTAGTATCAAGTATGGCGGAAGATGATAATAAATTTGTGAAAGATGGAACGGTGGACTACAAAAACAATCCAGCAATCAAGAACCAAACTGGAACTTGGAGAGCTTGCCCCTATATCCTTGGTACACTACTTTCTCTGTTTCTCTATTCCAATTTATGTGATACTTTTCATTTTCTGAGATTCAAACGGCGGATGTAGGGGGTGGGAGGGTGTTCACCCGACCCCCCTCTAGCCATAAGTTATATTATGATTGATTTTTTCGTGTTTATGTACATATATAAATTTTGAATCGATCTCGTTTAATTTAATTAACAGGAAATGAATGTTGTGAGAGGCTGGCATATTATGGGATAAACACAAATCTAGTGAATTATCTGAAATATCAGATGAATGAGAGTAGTGTTGTGGCAGTTAATAATGTTACAAATTGGTCAGGGACATGTTATGTTACCCCATTGCTAGGTGCATTTCTAGCTGATGCTTATTTGGGAAGATTTTGGACTATTGCTGCCTTCTCAATCATCTATGTCTTTGTAAGCCTCTTTATTTTTTTGCTTTGCATGTTTCTTTAATTTTGGTAATATGCATGACATGTCACAACTTCAGCTTACTGAGGACATGACCCTATAGCCAGGGGCGGAGCCAGCATGTTATTAGGGGTTCATCCGAACCCCCTTTGGCGGAAAATATTACTATATATACATGGTTAAAATTATTTTTTAGGTATATATAATAGATGTTGACCCCCCTTTGACTAGTTCGTGTGTTCACTTCTTTAGATTTTGAACTCTCTTATTGAAAATCTTGGCTCCGCCACTGCCTATAGCAGGTCTGCATTCTACATACACCTTTCTCCCTAGACCCTACTTTGTGAGATTGCACTAACTAACACATTTATTATCCTGCCTAGGAAGTACGTTCACAAGAATGAAACACTTTTACACAATAGATAAATATTGTCAGTGCATATAAGTTAAAACGTTGTACTTTAAATTTATGCAGGGGATGACAGTACTAACATTATCAGCATCAATACATGGACTAAAACCACCTTGTGATCATGACAACAATTCATGTCACCCTAAAGGATTACAAATTGGAATATTTTACTTAGGTCTTTACCTAATAGCACTTGGTACTGGTGGAATAAAACCTTGTGTTTCATCATTTGGTGCTGATCAATTTGATGATTCTGATGAAACAGAGAAGAAAAAAAAGAGTTCTTTCTTTAATTGGTTCTATTTTTCTATCAACATTGGCGCGCTCGTTGCCTCTACTGTTCTTGTTTGGATACAAACAAATGTTGGATGGGGTTGGGGATTTGGTATTCCTGCTGTTGCTATGGCTATTGCTGTTGTCAGTTTTTTTTCAGGAACAAAACTTTATAGGAATCAAAAACCTGGTGGAAGTCCACTTACAAGGATATTTCAAGTTGTAGTTGCATCTTTTAGGAAAATTAAAGTTAAGGTTCCTAGAGATACTTCTGTTTTGTTTGAAACTAATGATGAAGAATCTGTTGTACAAGGTAGCAGGAAACTTGATCATACTCAACAATTGAGGTATGTCTAAGTCCTTTTCGATTCGTTTTCTGTTGAATCGTATGATCATCTCATCAACAACAATTGTAGTTATCTTTGATAGTTATACTATCAGACAAACGGTTACTTGTAGTTATCTTTTAGCAACCTAATAACGCTTTATTTAATATTTTTTTCTTCATATTTTATTCAGTTTCTTTGATAAGGCAGCAGTGGAGACACAATCAGATAAAATCAAAGGGTCAATTAATCCATGGAGCCTTTGCACTGTGACACAAGTTGAAGAATTGAAATCAATCATAAGGTTATTGCCTATATGGGCAACTGGTATAATCTTTAGCAGTGTGTATAGCCAAATGGGAACCTTATTTGTTCTCCAGGGCAACACAATGGATCTTCACATGACAAAATCCTTTGAAATCCCTTCAGCTTCCCTTTCCCTTTTCGACACGATTAGTGTCATTTTTTGGGTACCTGTCTATGACCGTGTGATTGTTCCGTTGGCTAGAAGAATCACAGGTCATAGGAATGGTTTCACTCAGCTACAAAGGATAGCAATTGGACTCGTAATCTCAATTTTCGCGATGTTGATTGCTGGAACATTGGAATTGGTAAGATTGACAAGTGTAAAACAACATAATTACTACGAAATGAAGCATATACCTATGTCGATTTTTTGGCAAGTTCCTCAATATTTTGTCATAGGTTGTGCTGAGGTTTTTACATTCATTGGACAATTGGAATTCTTCTATGAACAAGCTCCTGATGCTATGAGAAGTTTATGTTCTGCTCTGTCTCTTATAACGACCGCGCTCGGGAACTATCTGAGTACATTTTTGGTGAATGTTGTTACAGACATGAGTACTAGACATGGTGGTGCTGGTTGGATTCCTGATAACTTGAACTATGGTCATTTACATTACTTTTTCTGGCTTTTGGCTGTGCTAAGTATGATCAATTTTGGATTTTTTCTCTTTGTTGCTAAATTTTATACGTATAAGAAGCCTTATATAGGTCCATCCTCATCATAGTTAATTAAGTTACAATTATTTGTAACAATATTATTAGTGTTTTGATCATCTGTTTCTGCAAAAGATATAACATTGTTGTTCAAGATTCTTGATTTTCTTGAAATGAGCATTAAGGCTGGTTTTTTTGTTCTACTCCCTCCGTCCCTTTTTAGTTGTCCACTTTAGAAATGGCACACAGATTAAGGCAACAATGATTAGCACAGTGAAGTTACAATTTTACCCTTATGACAATTTTTCACTTCAAAATTACAACCACTTATTTGAATTAAAGTGAAATAAATTGGAGGGAAACAACATACACTTTTACAATTTTCAAGAAGTGTAAATAAGGGTATAATAGGAAAAAAATTGTTGTCCTTTCTTGATTTGTCAAAATGGACAACTAAATAGGGACAACTAAAAAAGGAAATATGGACAAATAAATAGGGACGGAGGGAGTAATTTTTAGTATTGCATTGCAACATACTTGATATGTTCCATTTTAACTGTCGTTTTTAGCTCTTTTCATGTCCAATATTAATTAAGAAAACAATAAATATAAGGTATAGTTTAGTAAGTTACCCCCTATTTATTAGATGCTTCTTGATAATTGAAGTGCTAGTTTTTTAATATCAGGGGTATTGTTGAAAACAATTACTCTCTCTGTCTCAATTTATGTGACACATTTCGTATTTTTGAGAGTCAAACAGTTTAAATTTGACCGGCAATTGCGCATAAAATCTTCATTTTAAAAAAAAAATGAAATTTATATATTTGTAAACTATGTTAAAAGTACTATAAGTTGCAATGATTGACAATTCAAAATATTTAAAAAATATATGAAAAATTTATGATCAAAGATAGTTTAAATTTTGAAATAAAAAATGTATCACATAAATTGGGACGGAAAGAATACTAATTTTTATCTTGAATTCCTAAAGTACTACTATTAAGTTAAAACTTTGGTCAAGCACAACTTAGAAATCTAAAATGCGAAAGTATTTTTCAAGTTAGATTAGCCATAAAAACTTTTTCAAAAAGTACTTTTTTAAAAGAAGCACTTAAAAAATAAACGGACTCTAAAAGTTTGATCAAACGGACTAATAACCTCTTTGATTTTGGATCTGTCTTTGCACTGTTAACTGTCGTTGTCAGCTAAAGACTAAATAAGTAGTCCAAGAAATGGATACTTTTGTTGATAAGAACTGCAATTGATCCTTATTTTGTTGTTCAAATAGTGATTGATTTATTCTTTTGATCTGCCCACATTGACAAATATAATTGAGAGATCATACACATCAATCATAATTTCACCAAAGCCAAGTAGCTTAATGAGGAAATAATGATAACTAACAATATGAACCATTATTTCCTAAATACTAAGAAAGTCTTGACGTAATTGATAAAGTTATTGTCATATGACTAGTTGAAGATCACGTTCAAGCTTTGAAAATAGTCTCTTGTAGAAATACAGGGTAAAACTGCCTGTAAAATTGACCCTTGTTTTATTTTCTTTAACCCCATTCAAATACAAGAAATGAAGAATACTTGTTGTTTTGCCTTCTTACATTATCTACTAACACAAGCCTAAATTTTTTTTCTTTTCTTTTTTACTTCTTTTGCACTCTCTTTCTTCAATTTTTGAAAAGTTAAAGCAATACTCTACCAAAAATATGAATTAATAGTCGAAAGTTGTTAAATAAAGTGAACTACAAATTCTTTTTTTATTTCTTCTTGAATTTCCAAGCATTACAACAAGTATATTAAAGTAGGGTATACCAATTATCAAGTATGGACTTCTTGAATCAAATTCTATAATTCTACCTCTCATTTATATAAAACTTCTCAACTTATTACTTTTAAAATTTTGTTAACATCATGATGACTGCCTCAGTGAGTTATTGTTGAATTGATAAAATCTTACCTAAAACTTATAATTAATTTTTTTTGAAGAAAACACTTATAAAAAATATATTAAATAATAATATTTATCTAAAAAGTTTTTTTAAAAATTGAATAAATACATATAATGTTTATTTAGATTTTAAGCATGTAACTAGAATTTTGCTCCAATTATGTTAAACCGCTCCTGAAGAGGGAGGTTAGTGCACCGGCTACCTTTTTTAGCCTATTTCCACTGAAGCTGCCCTTTTAGTCTATATATATATATATATATATATATATATATATATATATATATATATATATATTTGTACATGTAAAATAAAAGATAAATGTTCACACTCTTTATCTGCCAATTGTAGTTCAGTTTTAAGTACAATAAAAGATAAATGTTCAAACTCTTTCATTTCTGCCAGTTGTAGTTTAGTTAACTAGAATAAAAGATCAAATGTTCACACTCTTTACTTTTGCCAATTATAGTTTATTTAACTACAATTAATAAATAAAACAGACTATATAAATGTTCATACCTTTTACTTCTGTCAATTATAGTTGAAGTACAATAAATGAAACTTAATTAGATGGATAGTTGATCGGAAGATAACTTTAATTTTGTATACATATAAATGTTCACATTCTGCTAATTACATATCAAACACAAAGATTGTGAAGATAAAATATAATTAAGGTACACTTTCCTACTCAAATTCAACGCTTTGTTTTCTATAATTGACGTAATAGATGAGGTTGCTCCTCCCTTAACCAGATGTCTCGAGTTTAAACTTTGAATATAAAAATAAGCCTTGATAAAACAAAGTTATATAATTAATTTTTTACATATAAAAAAAAAAAAAATCTTGTTTCATTTATTGTGATTTCAGAATTTTTTTTAGCAAAATATTCTCAATTTGACAGTTGGCAAAAATAAATTTCAGTAAGGATACGCTTAAATTGTTCCAACCAAATTTTGAATTAGGACTATCGTCATTAAGTTTGACTTTGAAACTCATTTTTAATATGTAAATTAATTTTAAACACAAATAAATTTGTTTAGAATTATTTATGTCTTTCGCAGCATGTTAATGATTATCATGCAATTCTATGGTATTACGTTACAAATTAATTTTATAGATAATTATTATCATTATTATTATTATTGTTGTTATTATTATTATTATTATTATTATTATTATTATTATTATTATTATTATTATTATTATTATTATTTAGTTTTGTTAAGCGTGAAAAAACTTGTTGAAGAAGAAAAAAATAGGCTTAATTAATTTATGAAGGTTTACATTGAATCTAACCATTGAAAAATATTAGGATTAGTATTAAAAGGTTGTATATTAAATTTAGAGTCATTTGGAGTTGATTTGGACGAACTTTGAAGCAAGATGCGTTGATTAGTATTTAACACAAAAAGTTATGAAGATTCATAAGAATTTTATTGTTAATTCGGACGAATTATGAGGATTTTGTGGTAATAAATTATGATGATCCATCAATATTACGATTAGACAATTTTGCCATTAATTTTAAAATTTGTAAGGATTTGATCATAAATTCTTACGATTACTATGACATCCATCAATTCTAAATCCTAACGATTTGTCAAAATTTTGCTACATATGAGAATTTATTTTGGTAAAACGTTTCTTAACGAAACTATTAAGTCAGCATTTAACCATATTTCATTGTGAATTCTTTTTTTTTTTAAAAAGAGTTTTTGTTTTTAAAGTGAAAAATGATATTTGAAAATTACAGTTGTGTTTGACCATGAATATAAATTGAAAATATTTTTGACTTTCTGTGCGTACTTTGAAGTGAAAAAAAATAAAAACACATTTTTATTACTTTTCAAATTTATGAAAATTTTAAAATTTAACCAAACATGTCTACTGAAATTCAACTCCCCAAAAAAAGTCATGGTCAAACGCCTCCTTAAAATTTAAACGGGGCATTGAAAACATTTCCTATTTTAGCATATCTCCCCATAGTTGTCAAGGGATAGTAAAAATTTATTTTTTGCATATAAGTCTATAGAGTTAAGTATACAATTTTAGATAATAAATCTTTTTATTATTATATATTTTCTTCAACAAAATTTATATAAAGTTAGTAACTAGAAAATCTGAGATGTAGCAGTAAGACCCCTTTATATTCTCACATTCCTCAACTCCAACATTTTACTCTGCCGCCTCCTTCCCTCAAACCCCACAACCAAAAAGGTATTTTTCATCTTTTATATATCTATACTATAATCATCATCATCATATATATATATCATGTGTATGCAATGCATTAAATTTAACTTTACGTGGAATCAATCACTAATACTTGTGTCAGGCCAGACATCTATGTTAACACGTGATGTTTTGTGCAACTTTCTCAGTTTTGAGTTATTTTACCTTCAAAAAGGATTTAACATATATATACAACAATATAATTGAAGGATTTTTAAGTTTTTTTTACATTTTTAGTGTATATTATTAGTGAATTTTTCCTACAAATGTTGTGTAATGTGTGTATATATATATACTTAATTTAACCATGATAACATCTCTTATAGAACCTGATTTTTACCTATAGATATTTTAACGGATCTTCGAATCAACCACTGATGTTTGCTTCATGCTTTGTGATGTGACCATTCCTTAGACCCTGTGTGAACACGAATGACTACATTTTTTACACTATGAGGGTATATTAGTGTTGCTTGTTTGTGGGGTCCACTTTTGGCCCATTGGTAACCTTTTGTTTATCTCATATCTGGTGATCTTGGAATAATTTATCGTCGAAAATTATATTATATGTATAAAGGTTATTTTTCTGTTTTTTATTTGTAAATATAGTAGATTTTGAATTCTGTTGGTTTCGTTGTATGTTTACTTCTTTCTGTTATGAATCTCGTTAGTGAGTGTCAAAGCCCATAAATGTTGTTCTTGTTTTGATTTCGAAAATCTCCAATGTGTAACAGAGGTGTTTTATGTGTTTGTATGATTGTTTGCCCTTTAGGCTGTTGCATTGATTTGGTCTAGTTGACATTGTGGGAGAAGCTAGAATGGATAGCGATGATGACTACACGAAGGATGGGACCGTGGACATCTATAAAAAAC